AAATACAGAGTAGTGCCTTTTTCTATGTGTTTTTGCATGAAACTTTTCACTTTTTCTATTTTGTACGGATTTGAAAGCGGAAACGCTTGTATGAATTAAACTAAAGGCTGTAGGTGGTACAGCTTAGGCAAAATGTAAGCATGCCGCTGATCAGACTTGTTCGCTTTGTCCAAGACAGCACAAATCCAACCTCAGGTTCTTGCACCCTCCCGTCCCCGCTCCCCGCGCTCGACTGTCCAGTGATATAGCACACAGAATACTATTATTTCGCCTTGTTGTCTGCAATTTCTCGGGAACTAAACCTTGCAGGTAGTTCAAATTTGGTATGATTATGTTAAAACTCATTTTCGCGTATAGAAATCTGAAAAGTTTGTGAATGACATGGCTTAACCCCATTTATCATGGAAAATGTACATTTGAGAGCATAAACTGCTAATAAACCCACCCCATGAAAATGTCTGCAGTTGCACAGCACATGGGCCATTATTATCCATGGGTGAAACACAACACTAAGGCATACTTCCTTTTAGGTTCCGGATTGTCTGAAATCGTTCCACGCATGAAGGATAACAGTCAATAACAGTCAAGGTGAAATATCAATCCGATGCGCATAAACCAGCCTCATAAATGGCCTCCAGAAACAGTCATTTGAAATAAAATCCGAAATTTGAATTTTGCTTCTGACGTTCCGTCGCAACCTCCACATTCTGGTGAGGTGAGATTTGTGCATGTACAAAGATGCATAATCGTTTTGATGAATCACAGGACCCACTAGATTTTCTGTAATCGCGAGGAGAAGAAACTCATTCGAGGTTTTGATATAATATTCAGTTGTCTGGTTTTCATCGAGAATACTCAGCTGAGACTTCATCTATCTAAACTGTATTCCAGACTGTGGAATAGATCCAGCTCCTACACAGGTTACACCAGTAGTAAATGACTCCATCAGGACCGTCTTCTTTTTCGTGGCCGAATATCACACCGTTTAACTCAGAATTATAGTTGACGCGGATTCTAACCTTCGAAACTCGATCACCATCATGGTCCATTTTATCGATTTTATTTAATGTTCATGCTCTTGAATCGTAACTTTGGTGCTATTTTTAACGGTTGTTGAAGACACCACACATGTACACCCAAGTCTATTGATCGCCGTATAGTCGAAGCACCGGTTACTCAATTTGAAGATTCCTGGCTCGTGAATACATTTGAGTTCGTTCGTCGAACTACTCGATTATTCTTTGAGTTATGCTACGGTGGGCTGGCTAAAGTGTTACGAACAACCCGCGGTGATCGATTAGCTTTTCCCTTATTCGGGGTGATCCGATATCTTTTATTCTAGATCCAAAAACCTTGAACCGCATGTTCTGTTTTGACAAACCACGGATCGATGATTTCTACCACGAGGTACGCATGACCTTGGTGATCCCTGATCAACCACAGTGTGCAACAGGAATAATGTTCAATATCGTACTGTATAACTATAGGCCTCCTTCGGACATTTCAGTTCTGACTGACCCGTGCTATTTACGTGACGAGCCATGGAGCGCGTTTTACAGACAACATTTTGATTGGAGGCAGTGGCATTCCACATGCCTGGGGGCACATTTCCAGGGGAAATCAGGTCTGTAAAATCATAATTGAGATCACTTTCTGTTACCTGGACGGTCATGGGTTCAATTATCTTCACCACACCAAATTTGATCAATCTGGGCGTTTTGGTTGTTGAGCAATTGCGAAAAACAGAGTGCAGTCAAATGGCAGTTTTTCCATCATACATGGCATACGTGCAAAAGGTCAAAGGACTACAATCGCCAAGCTTTTGATGGTGGCTCCCTTATGGTTTTGGACAATAGTCTAACGACCAGTGAATCAGGGCTTTCCGTTCCGTAATGCAAGCACAGTTAGAATGCTTTCATGACTTTCCTTTCTGATCGATTCCGTAAGAATCGTGAGTCTTTGTGCTTCCACGGAAATGCTGACTTAGCCACACATCCAACTTGCATCAGTAGAAGTTGATTATCTTTCTCAAAACATCAAGATCGTTGTCTCACTTGTTTTCACATTCTCCCAAGAACAAAAAATGCTCAAGGGATTTGAAAATTGCGCATTCGGTGAATCTAATAAAAGAAAGATGTACTCTGTTCAGTCCTTACTGAATGGAAAAATTGGGTCATTTCAAACCCTCCAGGAAAATTAGTCAGGATATAATGTACTGCCTTCAGTCAATGAACTTGTCAGTTGAGAACTGGAACAGTTAGCCCTCAACTATCGTTGTTGTTGTTGTTGCCACTGATGTTGCTGTTGTTGCTGTTGTTGAAAAACTGAGTGTTGAGAAAATCGGGAAGCCACAAAATGTGGACCTCATCCGTGGTCGATAGGTAATCAAACCGAATAAAAAAAACTTTCAAACGCAAAGGACTTTAAGAAATTCTACTATTTAGGTTTTAGACGGATAGAAGAGACCGTGGTGAACAGGTTTACACATAGTCGTACTAGACGATAATCACAGGATATCGGGGTATGCGGCGAAAATTTCCCAGAACGACCCGTATTGAGTTGATCACGCATGCCAAGGTAACCAGTTCTCAAACCGAGGTTCATTTCTGAGATTAGACAACAAATTTTTGTTTTGAATATCAAATAGAATCCTTTTGTTTTGACCAGTAGAACGCTTCGCACATTGTCAAATCACGGAACGGAAATGCATAGGTAAAAGGACGGTGATTTGTCTGTAGAAGATCCTATCTTCGGTAGCAGCGCTCACAAATAGTGATTTTCATGGTACAGTCAATCTCCTGCTATGTCGCACCCATCAGGAATTCGATAAAGTGGGTAAATTCCAGGAACTGCGACAGAGCAGGGTAAACAGTTGTAGATGCTAATAAGTAGTATAAAAAGTCGGTTGACAGTTTGTGACAAAATAACCCGGATCGATGAAAAGTAGGTTAAACCTGTTAGTTGTTCCCAAGGTTTAAAATCATAAACTGTTTACTTATGACGGAATTTAGATCTGCCGTCCTGCTTATTCTTTATGTATCAGAGAAATTTAAATCTTTTATGACACCCTCAGCCTAATATCGATACATTGTAGGCGGTATTCAGCCTTTTTTCAATTCTTAGTGTCTAGTTATCCCGAAACCACCTAACTTTCTTCAGGGGAACATTTTCTAACCCAGTGATCCCATAATAAATCCATCTATTCCTCCGTTCCGTTACAATGTTAGGCTAACCACAGAATTGGTTATATGACATGTACCATAATATACAATAGCTTTAGCTACAATAATCAAATCAGCGTTAACCCATTCAAGGAAAACAAAGGTGAGCCAGTTCGAATACAGTGAGCAGGATATAACATCTAAAATGAGTGAAGTATCTGTTACGGGGTATACTCAGAACATTGACTTCTTTCCCATATTCAAACTGATTGCTCGCTATGCAATCTATTCATGATTTTATGGTGAAAGATGTGTACCATTAGCGTCTGTAGACGTCTATTCGTTCGTTCGCTTTTTTGGTACCATTGTATGTTCAAACCTCTTGATGCATTCATCATGGCCGTTGTTGGTCTGACTAAGTTCAACACGCGATGCTATAACGTGGTTCATGAACCATACCTTTTTCAGTTTAAGATGTCCGAGTGTCAATTAAGATGTCACGTTGTTATGTAGATAGTACGGTAGTCCGATTACGCCATCCTTTCACATTGTCTTGTACTTTTTGTGATGATCTTGTTATCACGTGTAGTCCATGCGTGTGGTGAAGAAACGCCTGCTGTACAGCCAAAGTTCACGTGGGCCGCTAAAGACTCGCAGTTGTAGATAAGGTAAGGTTTCTCGCTCGGGTTAGCTGGGCAATCGCCAGGTCTCTTGCTGCGGTGACCTATCCGACCGATCGATAAATGAACCCGATCGGTCGCGTGATTTTCGGGCGGTCATAGGAGGAGGATAAGTTCTGAATCGAATGCTGCTTAAGTGTTGGTAGAGAATTACCACAGGAGAATCAGCTGTGGAACGATGCGTCATGTGGGAGATTCGGAATGAAAAAGTTCACGCGATGGGGACACTGGGCCGAAGTTTGACTCGTCTAAGATACACGCACTATTTTTAAGCGGGTTCTCGCGCAAATTTTCCGGTAGGCGTGAGACGGAAGTTTATTTGGAAGAATTTTACTCCTGTTCAGCCAACCGAAGGCCATAGACGCCAGTCTACAGGAATTACGGCAACTCTCAAGCACTTAACGATTCATAAATGCATTTCACAAACTGTCCTTAGACCCGGGTTACAATGACCTTTGGCGAGTGACCTGTCTAATTTCATCGTTGCTCTAGGACAAGTGAGAGTATCATTCATTCATTCACACGGGCGCATCCGCGTAACGTGTTTATCGATCGCTCGGATCTGACATCTCACTCCACTCACCCGCTTACCAGTCAGTCGCGATAATCGTTCACTCATTTGTGGCAGAGCCCATCGATAGATCGAATGACCGTGGCTTTGATCACCACTGTAGCAAAAGTGACCACATTCGAGCGACCCACAGTTCAGTTCAGTGAACCACAGAATTCCAAAAAGAACCTTTGCAGACTACAGGGATGTATTTTTAGCAAAATCATAAATCGTTGTTTGTCTAAGCTTGACTCTCCTTTGGAAATCAACAAACGCGCTGTTCAAATCAATTGTACACTCCAATAATCGACCCGAACTCCGAGCATCAACCAAGACAAACAGCTTCAATTAATCCAATAACTTCTGCGCCTCTCTGATCGAGATAACTTTGGGTGCATTCACTGCCTCATATTCATCTTCTCCTTCGTGATGCTTAGCTTGATTCGAAACGAATTCATTTAATGACTGAAAAAGGGACTTGGTACAAAAATTTTAAATAACCCACTTTTTCGTCAGCAAATTCCTGACAGGAGAATTCTTCAAAAAGATATTCATCAATAGACACATAATGAGTAAAGTCCTCGTTCAAATCGCATTACCCTCAGGTAGCTACATCACCGGATGAATCAATGTGGATTTGAATCCAGCTTTCATTAAGGCATTGATTGTTACATTCGGGTGCACAGACACCCAAGCTTTCTTGACCAGATGCATAGCCATGGGAACGTCCGCCTCAGCTTTTGTGATACGTTGCTCATCTTCGATCAAAGACAAGACATTCCAGTAAATATTTTGCGGTGAACGTCGGACAGCCAACTGTGAAATAACGTAGAAGTCATCCATGCGTTCTTTGAAGAATTATAGCTGAATGGAAGACTTTTTCTATCTATACCTCGGAGGCACCGTGGAGTTTGAAACTTTCCAATCACCAACGGTGATAACTTTTCTCCAGTCATGCTCCCTCAAAGCAGTAACGCGACCCCCTCTTTGAATTTCTTGGACCCAGAAACTGTCTTTTCTTTTAGATTTATTGTTCTTTCTAATAGCTAAGAGCTGTCTGCAATACAAAGCTGTTCCATCTGAATTGAATATATCGCAGTCGGCATATTCATGGATCAACTGCGCTAACCCCATTCGAAACTCGTCCACCGCATCACCTGATACCGCTAAACTTTCCCCACAGATCTTTGAAGTAATGCACATGAGTTGCTTGTTTCTTACTTTGTACAACTGAATACCATATCTGTCTGACCAAGAGCGAAACGAACCGGAGGTGAATATGATGCGGTCTTTGTGCCAGCTGGATTGCCTTCTTACGTACGATGCTCTCCACCGTTGGGAACTCTCCGTGCTTCCCCCTCATAGCAGTAAACCAAGCCCAAGATACCTCATTCACTGCCTTGAACTTTTCGTTGGTTTTCAGGTGGCATCTTTCCTCAGAGGCTCCAGCGTTCGAAAATTCTCCGATAGTCGTTCGATAGGATACAACATTGTAGACAGTCTTTCGTGAAATTCCAAGTAATTTGTCTACGCAGCTCTGAGTTGCACCTGTCTGTTTCAGCATTTCCCACACATTCTACTTCTCTCTGATCGAGAGGCACATGCACATTTTGACGTCAAATGATACTGTCTCCGATCACTCACATCGGTGTGACTTCCTCGCAAGGATTATCCAATCAGTGAACAGTGCTATGAACGCGTCACACTAGGTGCAACGTCATTNACGTCATTGGTTGAGTCCGACGTTTCAGGATGGTTTGTCAATGGTTTTCCCGAAAATCGGTTAACGACCAAGTGAGTACTTATCAGGAACTGCGACATATTGAGGGGCGTGACATTGCATAGTTAGAAACTACAATATTAGGCATGCGGTTGGTTTGGAATTTAGAAAAACTGCAAGGTTTTGGAAAATACGACTTCTCAAGGGTGCGACATAGCAGGAGATTGATTGTAACTTTTGAGGTTACGGGATCCGATGTAAGGCAGGATATCCACGACGTTCATCGGTGGTCCGATTTATTGAACTGTATAAGGCAATCCGGTCTCGCTCTGATTTTGTTTCTCTAGTGTGTTTGACAGCAACAGGGTGCAGGTTCTTCAGCTTCCAAGCACTTATTCACTTCTATACCCTAATTCCGCTTTACGGGTAAAAACAAATGCGTCTTTTCTTCGAGCATACTATAAAATGGATGCCCTTTGGCTTAAAATAGATGAGTGTATTCTTCCAATCTTTAGGAATTACCATTTCAAGAGTCTCTGAACATACTGATGCATCTTTTTTCACCAGTTCACCACGGTTATAACGCACAATATTTGTGTAAGGGCTGCTCTCCGCGGTTTCCTCAGTCATATTTTCCGATGTGTTGTAGCAAACTGCCCAAATTCTATCCGGATAGCCTAGGTGGCTGGTCCTCTACAGCCTGTTGGAATTATGTTGATACTGATTACCCAACTGATTGTTCCGGTTTCCTCCTCCTCTTCCAGATTCCACAGAAAATGAAATGAATGACAGCCTGATTATTTACAGGGAAGAGGCAAGATATCAAAGTGCCGGGCGTTGGTAGCCTGGTGGTAACGTCACCAAATTACCACCCCGGGGACGTGTGTATGAATCCCACCACAACCGTTAGACTTGCCCCATAGTGTTGTATGGCAGCCCTTTGATGGGCCACTTTCTCCTTCCTGAAATTGGTATCATTGTGTATTCAATGAAATGAAGTAAAAATGAAAAAAAACGATCGGACTGCTGTCAACCATCTCGATTGGCTGTCGGGTTCGGCTATTCTTGTTCTGATTGGTTGTCCCAGAGCAAAGCAGTTCTCATAGATTGTGCTGAATCTCTGACAAATAGCTAGTCGAACTAACAGCCCATCCCCATCGCCGTTTTGTTGTCTATCAAACTAACACCGAATCTGTTCTCATGATGCATTTTCTAACTTTGGAGGTCAGAAGACAGTTTCCAACAGTGCGAGCGTTTATTAGTAGAGCCAACAAAGTAGCGCATTGATTAATGGGAACTATGCTGTATATATAGGGTTGCGCGTAGTCTAAATGTTTCTTTAATGGAAATTACAGGAGGGCCAAAGAAGGACATGGACAAATCAGATTGCCGTTTTCTATCTGTTACCCTGGACCTAGTAACTTAACAAGAGAACGTTGGCACTTTCCAACGGTGGCGATTGACCCTGATCCAATTCAAATTTATACAGTGGGTATTCTCCGGGAAAGGTTAGGCTTTCCCTGACATTCTCGTTTCGAGTGCGAATCCCAGTGGATTCAGTGAATGTACACCGGTGCTAATTCTTGAAATGGACGAAACATCGGGACATTTAACCCAATTTTCTTTTTCTCAATGATAAAACAAAACGTGACTCGGCCTGATGAATACGTTTCCACACTCAAATCTCTCATGTACGTTGCTTTTCTTAATGTCAGCAGCAACTCAATCTGTCCCCTTAAATTCCTCACTCATTCCAGTTTGTGTTCACCTTATAACCGCCTTAAACTTTCACCTGTTAAACATGGTAGTCAATACAGTATGTTTTTCCATGTTTTTCTTGTAGCAATACGTTCGTGTTGTGGTTAAAAGACAGTGATACATACACATCCTCGTGTTAAATGTCATATGATACCTGATTTTTCCACTGTTGCACGCAGATTCACTTATGTTGGAATTTAAGGTGTGGTAATGTTTGGTAATGNATTGGCGTACAGACGACGTGGGGTGGGAGAGAGTTCCGGACCGAACACACTCTGACTGCGAATGACTGACGCCGGCATTTCAATCGGCATTTTGAGACCACTAGTTTGAACGGATGTCCTCTAAGATGAACGTTGGGTGATAAGTTTAGCAGCGGACAACATGGATGGCTTGGATTTTGCATTACTTGATACACCATAATCATGTTTTCTCTGATGCGCCGCTAGTGACTGGAATATAACCCCAGTGACTTCTCTGTCTTTCCGTATGAATAACAATTCAGCCCCCCAAACACATTCCGGTGGCCATCCTTTGTCGACGCTCCAGTATTTTCCAATCACGTTGTAGCCATGGTTTCCATGCCTGGATGGCGTACTCTGTGAGTGGGCACTAAATCAAATCCTTTAAGAATTTCACAGAATGTACTGAACCGCTTAGCATTGTCGTTTTGTCCACAGTGCCTCTCTCCAGGGCAGTGCGGCCGAATCCAACAACCACAGGTCTGTTAAGTCTATATTTCTACGCATACACCACCACAACCGTTGTCTAAATCTCAACTTTGAAACATACCTTTGGTGAAGAATAACTCGCAGAAGCCTGATTGATCGGCCATAAGCCGTTCAGTGAATCACACTGAACTACTCCCCCCCCCTTGGCACACGAACATTATTAATGGCGATTGTTTGGGGAACGAATGCACTGATCATGCCCTTATCGATTACACTTGACGTACTTTGTGGTGTTTTCACTGATATCGATCCGCGTCAGATTCTTTAATGTCCACCATTTTTGTTTGGACAGATTTCACATAACCGGTGGTACCAACAAACAAGGCTTGTGGTGACGTTTCACGCGTTTACTTCAAGCGATGCAGAATTTGGGCCAATTAGCTTTTTGTGTATGCATGCTTGCTTCACCGTTCAGACTAGTCAGCCACCACCAACTTCCCGGTAATCTGTGTCAGCCCTCCTCTCGCAGCGATCGTTTGACAGGTTTAGCCGTATCGCGATATAATACACTTGGTTCTTCATGAATGGACAGCCAGGAGTTGTGACGGCTCTTGCTATCATTATCGATAATGTAGCCCAGATACGTCCACCAAGTGAGAGAGAGAGAGATCTAGCTATCCATTCGGATAGGGATAGCGAGTTGGAGCGACCGAATCCTGCAACGGTATTTTTGCACTTTGAATGTGCCATATGCATGCAGAACATGGCCACGCATGCACACACACCAATCACGCTGCTGGCTTGGGATGACATCGCTGTGCTACCATAGCCGAACTGTAGTCAAATATCCGGAGTGTCATTTAGTTTGGGAATCAGAAACACGAACCGATATGGTCCGTTGTCGAAGGAATGCTCTAATCCAATCAAACACGATATCTCGAAAGCCGTAATTGTAGGGCTTCTGTAACACAATTTGGTGATTTAATCAAACAAATGCTTTCGAGAAATCGAGATAAATCACATCCACCGCATCCCCTTCGTCGACTGTTCTGGTCCATTCATCTCGAACAAGAAGCAGGTTGTTGGAGCAGGATCACATTTGCCTGAACCCATGTTAATCTGTTTAAAGAATGTCATATTCTTCTAGGTGTTCCATTAGACAATCTGACACAATTGATTCCATGGCATCCGATAACATCCGAAGCAGGGCTACAGGTTAGGTTAACTGGATCTCGACAACCACCAGCTTTGTATATGGACGCAGTAATTCCTTGTTTCTACGATTGTGGGAGTGTTACTTGATCGAATATTCATTGGAACAGAAATACTAGTGAGTGATCCGGATAAAAATGTCACCCTGGTTGTTTTAATTCCTCGTCGGGGCTCGTTGTTTCTGTTGGAATATGTGCACCATGCGTGATTTCTAACTTTGAATGAGTGAGTGAGCGCGGAATGCAACCATCGTGCGAATTCAATGCAAGCATGATGAAATCTTAAAGCAATGTTTTCAAACGGTAACCTCACGATCATGAGAGAAACTGAGCGACTGGGAATAGCTGACAACAAATCTGGTGTTAGCTGGAACATGGAATCGGTTCTTCAACTTTCGAGTTAAGTATTTCGAAATATGAGCATTGATTCACATCTAGCTACAAGAAGCGAATGAGGCATTTTCGCTGTGTTCTTCATCGTTC